GTTTTCCTCCATAAAACATTTAGAGTCAAGGTACAATGCATTTACATGTACTTTAGCTAAGTACTGATGACCTTAACCATACTCACATGACCTTTGTTTTGAGTTATGACATGCCCTCATACCATAGGCAGCCTTAGTGTCAAGAATGATTTTCTTATATTACGCCATTAAAAAATTACAGAATAAGACACTCTTGCAACCCCCCCCCCCCCCCGCCTCTCTCTCTCCCCCAATAAAAAAAACAAACAGTGACACATACACATTCTTGAGGGTGGGACCCACCAAGGGTGTAAATTAAAAAAATAAAAGCAATCCAACAATTTTCTCATAAATTGGTCATCAGCAGCGTTAGTATGAATACACAGTTATGATTTCTAATATCACTTTAAGGCGTAACAAAAAAATGTTTGTTTACGGTTACCCGACCGACCCTATATTTAATCGCCCACCCAAATTTTTTTTTCGTCGTAAAAATCCAGAAGTCACTCATCGGTCAGTTAAACTTTTACATGCATCTTAATCGGTCAACGGTTTGAAATCGAAAGTACTAGAAATAGACTATTTCTTGTACTTTCGAATAAATTATCATAATTTTTTCCCCAGGCCATTTTTACATTGCAATACCGCCATGCATTCAAGATCTCCCGCCATGCATCAAACATTGCCGCTATGCTTCCCGCTATGCATGAATTATTAATGGTAAACATTTTTTTTAAGAAGATGATTTACTTTGAATGTTATCAGTTATTAATCTATTAATAAAACAATTCAGATCACTAGAATCCTATAAACATGTTGCGTACCTGTGGTGAACTCAATGCAAATCTCAGTACGGCCGGGGTATGATGCAATAGCTGTCAATTTATGTTTATTGCAATTTACTGGTATTTTATTAAACATTAAGTTTTTATTTGATTAAAATATTTATAACCATGAAAAATTAATTAATTGCTGTAAGATAGTATACACCATGAAAGAAATACACTTGTTATTGCACATGTGGGTTTTTCCAACATTCCAGGTCATTCTATAAATAGTATTTATGTTCAGACATCAAAAAGGATTCATTAGTTAAACACATAATTCTTAAACCATATTTAGCATAAATATATGCTTAAAATAAACATGTCCTATAAACATTATCATTGTTTATTTACTCTATGAACTATGGGCTAGTACTTCGGTCAAGCGCACGTGCTTTAATACACAATGACCTACATTCAACAGCTTACGTTGAAAAACAAACATGTTGTCATTGGTGCTACAAAGTGTGCACCCTTTTTTGTTTAAAGATGACTGTAAAAGTAGGGACAGCCAAAAATGAAGTAAATTTAAAAAAGGGGGTCACTATAGGGCCTATTCAGTTTGTAGACAACAAGAATAAAACAGCACATAAAAAGACAGTGGGAAATTAGAGGTCAATCAAAATACCCCCACGCCCCCAAAAAAGATGATTAGATCTATTTTTATAAAAAAGAAATCAATTGTTTATTTTTTTTAAGTTAAATTGACAATTTATTTAAAATGTATTTATCATTTAAATTTAAAAAAAAAAATGTAAATGAATACTGGTAATGCATTTGTAATTTTCACTTATATATAGATTCAGACACATGTACAAGTAACTCAACCGAGACATGCTGCATGCCGTCAATTCAGCAAAATTCCCCCCATGCATTAAATTTTGTTTGGGGAAAACGCTAAATTGATTAAGTGCAACAGGGAATTAAAGAAGAAATACAAAACAGTTTTACCACTGTGTGGTAGCTGTAAGGCAGTTGACAAGAAAGATATTGTCTATCGCCCCTATGGCAAGCCCAAACAAAAGTAAAGCACCACACAGTAGTAAAACTGTTTTGTATTTCAACCAATTCATGTGAATTTGTAAATAAAAAAAATTCAATAAAATAAAAAAAAATTCCTACCTACCGACCCTATTTTTTTTTCAGCATGTAACAGTAAACAAACATATTTTTTTGTTTGGCCTAATTTTAAAATATATTGACATAACTGGAAATAGGATAGACATATAATACATTAACCCCCCCCCCCCCCCATCAAGCCTAAAAACTTATTTAATGTGTGTAAACCACAGAAATCAACCCTACATATTTCTGACAGTGACCTTCAAAACTTATAACAGTGCATAAATGACAAACTTCCAGTGCAGTATCAGCAAAGGGCTTCCAATCTTTCATATTCATGTAATTTGGATGGCAAATGGATAGAATGGATCTAATGATAAATGTACAAGTTTCCTCTCCTTAACTATGTCATTTATAAATACTTGATACAGGCAGTAATGATAAGGTCATATTTTAGTTTCATGGACCAACATTTTTGAAAATGCAGAAAGCAGGGTTTTACTTTTATTTCAGGAGTATTTTATATGTTCATTATGCAAAGGGGAACAACCTAGTTTTCTACAAATCTTCAAAAAGAGATTTGGGTTATCCCCCTTTTATTAGCAAGTCACAAAAATTAATCAATGCAGTAGCATTTGGGCTAATTTGATTTTCTGTCTTTACTAAAAAGTAAATATTTTTTTTTATCCTAAGTTGGCATCAATCTTAAATTTCATTATTTCTAGAACTTTCTCCTGCACAAAAATGTCAACTCAGAACACAGTGTAGATTTACTGAACACCTGCTACAGAAATACACAACATTCCTAGACAGAGCTGTGTTATAAATATCAATGGTGTCTATATCTAACTGTCAACATAAGTACAAAATGTCATCTGTTCTGAATGTAGAATAACTTAAACTGAATACATTATAAAGGTTAGGATATTGTAATAATTAGAAAAGATTTTAAAATTTAAACCATTCACTAATTCTCATAAAATTTATCATACAACACCAATTTTTTTTCTCAAACAAAACAGCACAAAATTTCACAAGTTGATAATTCCCCCAATGACAGTATATCATACATGGATCCATAAATCAAAACCTGTCTGTCACACAAAATGTGTAGATCTATGTATGTACTTTATATAAGAAGTTTCTGAGAAAAATTTACAGAAAAGTTTGAAATAAGAATCAGTGAATGAAGTCACACACAACACTGTACAGTTAATTACACACACCACCGTACAGTTAATTACAGACTGGATGTTAATCTATTATTTCTTATTAATCTATCTATTAACTTCATCTTTAACATCTCATGTTTGTTGTTTACACAATGAGGAATCATTTCTGATCAAACTATAACATTTGTAAATAAACACTTGATTACATTCATGTAAAGTTATTCTTAAATGACCTCTCTAACATAATGTAGTTATTGTGTTGTAGTGATATTATAATTATACAATACAATTAAACAAACTACAGTGTTACTTACCAGTCAGAGAGTCTTTATCTACCACTCTGTATATGTTGACTGTGTTGGTAATGAGTGACCCTACCCACAGTAGGTGTGTGGTATCATCATAACTCAGGCCCCGTGGTCTGTTTATCCCGTGTGGTGATGTCTGTATCTGTGTCAGGAAGTGACCGTCACTGTCTAACATCTGTACTGACTGGGTGATATCATCACACACCAGGATGTGTGACAGCGCGTCAGTACAGATTCCACGTGGATCTAGTCCTGATCCTGATGGAGGTCCTGTGTAGGAGAAGCGATGACTTCCTCCCCGTTCTGTCACCACTACAGCATTACGGCCCCAGTCAGACACAGTAACATCTCCATTGCGGTTCTCTGTGATGTATCTAGGATAACTATACAGTCTCTGACCTGTGTTGTTGTTGTTGTCGTACTGTATGGTCTGGATGTATTCACCTGTAGAGTTATACCGCACTACCTTGCCTGTATATGTATCATATCTACACATCCCGACCAGCAGGTCTCCAGTGGAGGGGGAGCTGTAGACACACAGTGGATACCATGGTCCTGTGTTGTACTTTATTAATGGAGTCTTTACTGTGTTCTCTGTAGACAGTTTGTTGATGTTACGGTGACTGTCTATATAAATTAAATCACCGTCATTGTTCACAGTGTGTCCTCCATAATCACTACGTATACCTCTCAGATGATGTAGTTTATCCCCTGCTGTGTTTGTCAAGATGAGATTGTTATAATCATCACTGATCCAGACCCGGTCTGAGGATACACGGGAAATGTGACGACCATGACTAACACCTGTCACTCTGACAGATTTCTGTAACACTAATCTATACATCATTGACAGCAGACATTTATTTCATCTTTATCCTGTGGTTTTATAACAGAATCCCGTGTTGATTTCCTCAGTCAGGGAGATTTCTCTGTAAATTACAACATTGTACTGGAATTATCTACATCAAGAGCATGTTTCTATTTACAATGTACTCAGTGAATAACATGTATTCATATCAAAGTTTTGGTTTTCAGAACTTAAAAAATTGAATAGAATTAAGACACAGGCAACATAAATACCTTTACACTGGGTGTTGAATTCTTCCAATGTCAGTATAAATAGCAAGGACCAGGTATTCATAATAAAGTCTATCTAAAATATAATATTTAAAGATTAAAACATATCTACAATGAAATACACAGGACATTTAAAATTCTTATACAGTACATATAATATGAAAATATTTGAAATGTAACTTGGTGTACAATATTTCTAGTTGTATGAATTAACTTTTATACAAAATTACAAATTATACATTATAATTATCAAAAACTTTAATTTCTTTCAGATATCAATTTACAAAGTTACAACAATGTGTAGTATTAAATGTAGATTTTTCTGATTATGTACCACACTCTATAGATAGGTATTCATGATCAACAGTGTGTTGTGACAGTTATATAAAGTAACAGAAAAATGTATACCACACTGATTTCTTGTATCTGGGAACAAATGTATGGCTTCTATTCATATTGGTTCTGTGTGTTCTGTGGAAAGAAAACCAGAAAATAATTACTTATCATTCTACAGAAATATGTTCAAAACAAAACAGAAAAATGTATTTTATTGACCTTATTTTATTTAATTATAATTCCTTTTCATATTTCACAAGAGGCCCAAGGGCATTAACAGTCACCTGAGTTATCATAGGTGAATGATCAAAGGAAATAACTTCTCTCAAACTAGAGTAAATCTTTCCTTATATAATTAATTGATCCCTACCTAGCACCAACACTCTTGGCCCAGTGGCTATCAATTTCACAAATCTGATAAAAACATCCTTGCTCATTAAAACTATGTACTTGGTTTGCCTGCTTAATACCTAGCTAGGAACAGAGAAGTGAAGATGATTTTCAAAATAATTAATGCATTTTTCACTACATGATCAGTAGAGCCCAAGCCTAAAACCAGAACCCCTGACTCTAGGGCCATGAATTTCATAATTTAGGAAGAGATACATTAATGGTTCATCATAATCTTTGTTCATCATCAAGTTTGTTTGCTAAATACTTAGGTGCAGAGAAGAATATTTGCAAAGAATTAAAGCATTTCAATTATATTATCAACAGGGTCTACCCTAATAGCATAACCACTTACCCAGTGGCCTTCAATTTCACAATTAAGGTAAAGGCAGGTTCATCATAACCATTCATTTAAATTGCCTGTATAATATCCATGAACAGAAAAAAGGCTTTCAAATGAAGAATTTATGCATTATTAGTGTATGATCCATTGAGCCCTGCCCTAACATCAGAACTCCCTGAAGCTGGGGTCATGCATTTCATGATTTTGGAAGAGGCACCCTTGCCCATCATAAACATGCATTGAGTCTGCTAAATATATAGAGAGAACAGAAGATTTTTGAAGAATTTGTAAATTTACTACATAATAAATAGCCCCCCCCCCCCCACACCCCCAGACACTTGAACCTTTGACCCTGGAGCTATGACAGCAAATTTTTTTCTACCCCTTGGGAATGGGTCCAGTACCGATTCAATTGGCTAAAATAGTGTCGAATTAAAACAAAAGGGAATTTTTTATGTCATGTCAATAAATCAATGAAATTTATTTCTAGTTTATTCTAACCTCATTACCTTTTAATTCACGCTTTAAAGAATAATCAACAAGAATTAATTGTTTTACATATTAATGTCCCTTGTTTTCATGTTGTCATGCTTTCAAGTTGTCAAAAATGTAAGACACTACCATAACTATGCTGTCAACAGCACGTGTCCCGCCATATTACCATTGATCTCTACTTTCGATTTATTAATAAGAGGAAGTTAAACATATACACAGGTAGGTTAAGGTTTCCCGAAGAATATCACAGTGCACTCTGTGCCTTCACATCTCGGAACTACCAAAATATGACGTCATAATGGAAAATGACGTCAAGTCACTGCAAACTTGAGGTGTTATGACGGGGAGAGTGTCATAAACTTTACACTTTATTTCAAACTGCATGTAAAATGCTAGATAACTACTGCAAAATTCACGGGTCGTTAAATGTTTTTTTAAGTCTTGTATGTCCGAATATTTTAAAAATATACCGCTTACCTACCCTTGATTGAAATTCAGCATGTTCAAAATGCTTATTAAATATATACTTTTGAAATGTACTCTGTTTTATACCCGTGGTTGGAGGTAGAATTTATTTTGTGTATATAAAAGAGTCTGGCGCAGGTGATTAATGAGGATTAATCTGAGAATTTTTGTGGAAATCTTTAACAAGAGGTTGTTCTCTAACTGAATCTTGCTTGGGAAAAATGTGTGCTGGCTTTGTTTTAATAAAGATTACGATATTGTGTGGAAAATACCCTCAAATTTGTAGGTAAGTTGAATTTCTCAGGAAATATTTTGTACCCAAGTAATACTATGACTTTTCCCAAGCACATTTCTGATAGACAAGGATACGATGAGTTTATTTATATAACAAAATGTTAATAATTATTGTATTAATCAGCTGCGCCGAAGCGGTTTATATGAAACACTTCAAAAATTTATAAATGACCGTCACGTGATCAACAAAGTCATGTGATATCATAACAAATATGTTAATATATAGCCGAGGAAAAACTTTATATAAATTGGAAATACTAAAGTTCAATACTTATAAATTAAAACCAAAACCGACCTCGCAATGACATATTATGTTTAGAGCGCATTTTAAGCCTCGGGAAGCCTTCACATAGCTGCGTAGTTAACTCATACAATGTTTCATATGAAAAGAATTACAATGGCATTGCAGTCTGTTCCTCGGCAGCTGAATTGGGAATTTTTAGTCTCAAAATTGGGAAAAATTAACGTTTCTGAAATTTTATGGTTTTGGTTTCACCCCTCAGGTCCCAAGGAGATGGGGACTAAATTCACGATATTTGTTCTGCTTTGCCCATATATGCTAGTGCTACATACCAAAATTGTTTCTACCATTCCAGAGAAGAAGCTGAACATGTTTGCAACCATATACATGACCGATGACAAATAACACACAAAAACAGATAGCAATAGGTTACCTAAGTAACTCAGGTGATCTAACAAGAGGCCCATGGGCCACATCACTCACCTGAGCACTGAGGCTAGGAAAAAAGCAGAAATCAGTTCAGTACTGAACAGTTTAAATACATAAGTGGTCCCAACCTACCCCTAAAGATGGGGGGGGGGGCATGATTTGAACAAACTTGAATCTACACTAACTGAGGACATTTCCATATTTCTTTGACTAATGATGGCTTCAGAAATTTTTGAAGATTTTTTTCCCATAAGTTTGAACTTTCATTGAGGCCCCGCTCTACATCTAGGGGGGGGGGGGGGGTCAAGATTTGAACAAATCTGAATCTACACTACCTGAGGATGATTTCAATCATGGCTTTGCTGTTCTTGAGAAGATTTTTAAAGATTTTTTTATGTATTCCTATGTCAAACTTTGATCGTCTATTGAGGCTTCACCCTAACCCCTGGGGTCATGATTTGAACAAATCTGAATCTGCACTAGGTAAGGATGCTTCAATGTAAATATCAACAATCATAGCTTTGCTGTTCTTGACAAAAAGATTTTTAAAGATTTTTTCTATGTATTCCTATGTAAAACTTTGACCATCCATTGTGGCTTCACCCTACCCCCGGGGGTCATGATTTGGACAAACTTGAATCTACACTTTCTGAGGATGATTCCATATAAATATCATCGTCCATTGTGGCCCCACCCTACCCCCAGAGATCATGATTTGAACAAACTTGAACCTACACTTCCTGTGGATGCTTCCACATAAAAATGACCAATCAATGCTTTGTTGTTCTTGAGGAGAATTTTAATGACTTTTTCAATATACTCCTATGTAAAAAAAATTTTGTCCATTGTGGCCCCACCCTACTACCGCGGGTCATGATTTGAACAAAATTGAATCTACACTACCTGGGGATGCTTCCACATAAAAATGACCTATCATGGCTTTGCTGCTTGTGAGAAGAAGATTTTTAAAGATTTTTCCTTTTGTATTCCTGTACAAAACTTTGATCATCCATTGTGGCCTCACCTTACCCCTAGGGGGTCATGATTTGAACAAACTTGAATCTACACTACCTGAGGATATTTCTACATAAGTTTCATCTTTCCTGGCCCAGTGGTTCTTGAGAAGAAGATTTTTAAAAGATGCCATGATTTCTTAATAATTTGTAATCATCTCCCTTCATTTGAACAAACTTGAATTCCCTTCACTCAAGGACTTTATTGCAAGTTTGGTTAAAATTGGCCCAGTGGTTCTTGAGAAGGAGTTGAAAATGTGAAAAGTTTACAGACAGACGGATGGATGGTTGGATAGACGGACGCCGGACAAAATGTGATCAGAAACGCTCACTTGAGCCTTCGGCTCATGTGTGCTAAAAATTTAATTGTTAGCTTGTTTATTTTTGGCCATTGTTTGTAAACATATCATGTCAATTATTTACTTTCAAGTATTGCATGCATTACTTTTATACTTTATGAACATGTGGTATAAAAACCTGTATTGAGGTGATTTTTTTCTTCTCTTAACAACTACACTGCAGAGGACATTCTGAGAAATCTGTCAAAACAAAATTCAGAATAACTTATATATACAAGTATACAATGGATAGTGGACTTGTAAAAACACAGCAGGTGTATGGTACAAATAATGCTGTTTTACATTATGTTTTGATATATTCTCTATGTTCTTCTTACTCATAATGCTTATAAGTAAAATTCATAAAATATGCCCAGGGTGAACTTTAAAGTATCATATACTTGATAGCCTCATGAATTTCTATATTTGAGAAAAAAAATTAATTAAGCCTTTTCTGAGAAAAATGACTTATATTTAAACCTGTACAATGGAGAAACATTATCTTCTTTTCCATGGTTGCACTTTACTTCATGTGATATCTATCAAAAACAATTTAATGACATGATTTATTTAATACATTCAAGTACCTGATATGAAAAAAATGAGAAGCCCATATGCTTCCAATTTTCTTCTTCTATGGATGTCCATTGATCATTGATTAATTATAAAAGATTTGTATCATTATTTTAAGAAATTATTTATTAGGTTAGGTAATTAAGAAACATATATTTCATGAATACTCAGGAAACAGTCAAATTTGTCCCTCAATAGTGAGGAGGATCTGGGTCTTCAGCCTCGGGCAGCAGTTTCTTCTCTAGTTAGACTGCTTTCCCATTAGTCATACATTTAAGTGTATAATTATATTACCTTCTGAGAACATTAACCACGCCCTCCAGGTAGATATTATCTCAAAGTCTGTGCATCAATCTGCATGAATCTGCAAAACACAAATGTTACACAATAGTATATACAGTGTACATGTATATCATAGCAGCTATATAGAAAAAATAACTTATTTTATAGTCAACCTAATTAATTTTCATATTTCCAATAACTAATAAATCACTCAATATTCTGTCAAAATTATCTAAACTTTTAGTAAATCAAACTTCAATAAAAAAGAACCTATTTGATATAAATTTTTTACATCATGTACATTGTTTGTTTGTTTAATGTCTATTTCGAGAATTTTTCACTCATATTGAGAGGCCACCACTTGCCCTTGGAAGGGCTGCAAATATAGACCTATACTCAGCACTCAAAGCCAATGAGCAGTGAGGGATCTTTTCATGGCAGCACCTATTGCAACACGGTACCTCGGTTTATACAGTCTTATCCAAAGGGCCAGTCTCCACATCCCGTGGTGGAATTCGAACCTGCGACGTAAGGATCAACTCCTTACTCCGCGACTCTCTAAACAAACACTCTAACCACTGCATCATGCAGGGAACTCATGTACCATAATGTATGATTTTATGTAATATTGTTTCTCAAAGAAAGAAGGAGGAGGGGAGGGGGGGAGTAATGTTTCAAGGTACCTGAGAATTCTGACCAGTCTCCAACCTAACACATTTTTTTAAGGGGGGGGGGGGGGTGGTTGCACTTTTCCTTTGCAGCAAGAAAAATGAGTATTACATGTATATGAATGTGGTAGGATTTGACCATATAGTAACAAAGTGTGTGTTTGTGTGTTAAGGAGGGTGCATTGGGGGGGGGGGGGGGAGCAAAAAGGTTACTTCCTTTAACAAGAGGCCACAGGGCCTTAACGGTCACCTGAGTATAATACAACAATTTAGAAGTTAAATACACTGATAGTTGAAGCTTTGTTGCCCTAAAGCAAGAGAAGTAGGAAGATCAGGATCAACAAAATAATTAGTCTAGTATTCAGTATCAACTCATAAATTAAGTTCTAATCTGTCCCCCACTTAACACTATGCAGACTATTAACAAACTATTAGTGCTTCTGCACTATTTATAAACCCATATTAAGACCTCTAGCATTGACCTCTCTTATGGTCTTTGAAGAACTTTTAATAAGATAAGTTATTTTTGTCTCATTTTTATTTATCTATTACTTACAGGTCTACCTGTTTATTAAAACTAAGAAAGTACTTTTTTAATTATACGATAAACATTCTTGCATAATTATCTTATTCTATTAACCTTTCAAATACATTATTTACAGTGATTAATTATCAAAGGTGAATGGAAAAGGGGAATAACTTCTCTCAGTAGAATACAAATTAATAGAGCCCTGCCCAGGACCAGAATGCTTAGACAAATGGTCCAGATGTTTAAAAATCTGGTAGAAATACGCTTACTCATATCATTTAAACTTTTACTCAGTTTGCTACCAATATGCCCAGAAGCAGAGAAGAATTTCACAGGTACAATGCATTTTCACTACAGATTCAACAAAGCCTTACCCTAACACCAGAACCCAAGACCAAGGGTCAAGAAATTTACAAATTTGAAAGAGTTACCCTCATCATCATAACTATGGACTTCAAAGAATTAACACTTTTCCACTATATTATCAAAAGCCCCCCCCCCCCCCTCGTTATGCCAGAACCCCTGACCCTAGGACCACAAGATTTAAAAATTCTGTTCGAAGCTCCCATTTTCATCAAAGCTAAGCAATTTATTTATCAGCTCAACACTAAGGAGCAGACAGGATTAATTAATGATTAATAGAATTAATGCTTTTTCACTATGTAATCAATAGAGCCCCCCCCCCCTCCTAAAGAACCCCAAAAACTGAGGCCATATATTTAAAAATTTTGGAAGAGGCATCCTTGTCTATCATAATCATGCACTTAGTTTGTTTATATAATCTCCAGTAGCAGAGAAGAAGATTTTCAAAGAATCAATGCATTTTCACTATATAATCTATAGAGCCTCATCCTAACACCAGAACCCCTGACCCTGGGGCCATGAAATTCACAATTTTTGAAAAGGCATCCTTATGCATCATAACCATGCACTTAGTTTGTTTAAATAATCTCCAGTAGCAGAGAAGAAGATTTTCAAAGAATCAATGCATTTTCACAATATAATCAATAGAGCCCCGCCCTAACACCAGAACCCCTGACCCTGGGGCCATGAATTTCACAATTTTGGAAGAGGCACTCTTGCTCATCATAACTATGTACTTAGTAACTTTATTTAATACCCAGGAGCAGAGAAGAAGATTTTCAAAGAAATAATGCACTTTCACTATATGATCTATATAGCCCCACCCTGGGGCAAGAACCCCTGCCCCTGGGGCCATGAATTTCACAAACTTGGTAGAGGGCTCCATGCTTATTACAATGATGCCAACAGTTTGTCTGCTTGATGTCCAGGAGTAAAGAAGAAGATTTTTAAAGATTGCATTATTTTTGGTGGTTTTAGCCCCACCCCTCAGGCCCCAGGGGGGCAGGGACCATGAAATTCACAATTTTTGTTCCCCTTCACCCATAGATGCTATATACCAAATTTGGTTGAAATTGGTTGAGCGGTTCCAGAGAAGAAGCTAAAAATGTTCAAAAGTTTACGAACGACGTACGACGACGGACAAAAACGGATAGCAATAGGTCACCTGAGTTTACTCAGGTGACCTAAAAAGGAGTGGATCCCCCTCCCAGTACTATATTTATTTATTATTTAATTATGGTTGTAACATTTGTTTACAGGTACATCATGTAACCTGCATTGCCTATGTCTCTTAAACCTGTTAGAAAATATACACGCGATAATTGGATAATTTACGCTAAGTAGTAAGGTATATAATTTGTTGCGTTTGGATGCAAAAATGTTCACAAGAAAGGTTTTAGGAAGATTTTTTTTACATGCCCTGGACTTATGCGGGAGGTGAAAAGGGAGCATTTTTCTGCAATTGCAAGGGCTTTGTCTCCATTCAGAGCAATCTTTTATGCCTGATCAGGATTTTTTTCTGTATTATAAAATATTTAAGGAAATGGTACCTTTTCAAAACAAAAAAATTACCAACATGCATGTTAAAAGTGGTATACATTTAATTACAAACGCATATTATAAGTGTTTTTTGATCACATTTTTTTCTTAGCATAACATAATTTTTTTCTTTCCTAATTTTGGGCAACCAAGTTTTGCATTCGGACAAGTCAAAGTTTGAGATCACTTGCCCGAAAGGCAAGTGAATCTGAAAGTTAATGTCTATCCCTGCAATCAAACAAAATCATCAATGCCACCATCTATCAGTACTCACAGTACCTTGAATTTTAATGAAATTAAAAACCAGTACAGATCATAATGCCTTCTTCATTTTGCTGATTCTTTACTTAGAACCTTACAGGAGTGAAGCCCATTTCTCTACAAGTACTGGCCTACACTCTTGTCGCTGTATTAAAAGGAAACACCTGTTCATCACAAAGCATGGAATTATATGCCACTGGCGGACTTTCTAAGCTTTTTAAAAAGCTAACCTTGTAACGTACATTATTTTGTAATATTGAAAAAGAAAACAGACTGAATCAAAAAGGGGTGTCCAATTTACCAGTGGAGGGAGTTTGTTTATGATTTGGCTAGTCCACTTATGGGATAACTGGGAAACAAAATAGCAAGAATAATTAACAAATCCATTGCTTTAGTGTTTAGTTCCATGCCCGTATACAATGTGTTATTTAAAAAGTGAGATAAAAATTGCAGTTAATAAAAAAATCTTAAGTTGAAGAATCAGGTTGAAAGAACAAACTTTATTTATTTCAATAGAAGTTATCACACCCATTCAATAGAACAATCCAAGAAAAAGGCGCGAAGATAATTTCCTTGTGACATTTGGCGCAAAATGATTGTGTCATCCCTTTTGTAGAAGACAAATGGACTGATCCAGTAGTTAAAAAATGTTACAAGGACATGTCCGTATAAAGAATCACAAAGAATAAACAGGCGCATGCAAAAAAACTGAAGGAATTAAACACATCATTATTTTGCATCAGTAATATGATTCTTTCTTCTGCATACTGTATTTGTTAAAATGCAGGTAACAAATCCCGATGTAAATCAGCTTGCACAAAATCTAGCTCACTAAGTATGATCACTTAGTTTCAGACCATGGAAAAATTGATCCTTATACTGCCTGACGCTCGTGGCTTCAGGCAATTATTAAAAGAGTAATTTACAGACTTCCATTCCCGTTCTTATTTTTTTTTAAGAGCATTGAATATAAACCTAGTAAAAAACATAATGAAGTTAATATTTTGAAAGCCTTAACTTGTTATTATTGTTTAGTTCTCATATGTTCATGTAGATTCACATGCTGAATTAAAAAAAAAAAAAAAAAATTGCACTTGATGACAGCGCCAGTCTTCCATGTATTCCAATACCACAATACAATGAGACCAGTGTTTTCCCCAAAAACAGGCTACCGGCCAAATTGACCGCTTCAATTGATAAAAATGCCACTTAGAAATCAAAAATTTAAATTAACAAGAGGCCCATGGGCCACATCGCTCACCTGAGTAACTTTGGCCCTGCTGTTCTTCACCTAATTTCCTACCTTGTAATACCTA